TCAAGTGGTAGAGTGCTAGTCTTGAGCAAAAGAAGCACAGGGGCAGTGCCCAGGCCCTGAATTCAAGCCCCAGGACTGGCAAAAAAATCTGGCTGAGGCCAGGCATCAGTGCCTCATGACTGTAATACCAGTTACTCAGGAAGCTAAGACCTGAGGATCAAAGTTCGAAGCCAGCCTACGCAAGAAAGTCCATTAGACTATTATCTCCAATTAACTAGCAAAACTCCAGAAGTGGTGTTGTAGCTCTAGTGGTAGAGCACCAATCTTGAGTGAAAACAGTTAAAGGACAAAGTCTAGGCCCAGAGTTCAAGCCTCGGCATGATAGCCCTCTTCCCCCCAAAAAATCCAGCTGAGGTGTGGTTCAAGTGACAGAGCACTTGCAAGAGTAAGAGTCTTGGCTCAATCTAAGTACTGAAAAAAAAAAAGAAAGAAAGAAAGAAAAAAAAAAAAAAAAAGAATCCCCTCTGGTAGAACACTTGTCTGCCTATGCCAAGCACTTGCAAGGCCTTAGGTTCAATTCCAGCACAGGGGGGAAACAGATTGTCACACTTAACCCCAAATTTACTGAATCAAGTTTTCTGATGGGATCCATTTTTTTCTTTTGGTTCGGTCGTGGGGCTTGAACTCTAGACCTGGCACTAACCCTGAGGCTCTTCAGTTTAAGGAGAGCGCTCTACCACTTGAGCCACAGCACCATTTCCAGTTTTCTGGTGGTTTATTGGAGATAAGAGTGTCACAGAGGGCTGGGAAGGTGGCTCAGTGGTAGAGTGCTTGCCTTGCATCCCTGGGTTTGATTCCTCAGCACCACATAAGCAGAAAAAGCCAGAAGTGGTGTTGTGGCTCAAGTGGTAGAGCGCTAACCTCGAGCTGAAGAGCTAAGGGACAACGCCCAGGCCCAGAATGCCCATGACTGACAAAAAAAAAAAGTCTCACAGACTGTCCTGTCTGGGCTGGCTTTGAACCTTGCAGCCTCCAGAGTAGCTAGGATTATAGGCATGAGCCACCTGTGCCCAGCAGGGATCCTTTTTCTTTTTTTTTAAGTAATCAATTGACTTGAATTTGTTAAAATCTGGAAAATGTTTTCCAGTTCTAGGGTAGGGCCTGGGGGCTATGGGGGCTATCCCTGAGCTTCTTTTGCTCAAAGCTAGCTCTTTACTATTTAAGTCACAGCTCTACTCACTCTGGCTTCATTTTTTTTTTTTTGGTCCAGTCATGGGGCCTGAACTCTAGGCCTGAGCATTGTCCCTCAGCTCCTCAGCTCAAGGCTAGCGCTCTACCACTCTTGAGCCACAGCGCCACTTCCGGCCTTTTTCTTTTTGCTTATGTGGTGCTGATGAATAGAACCCAGGGCCTCAGGCATGCAAAGCAAGCGCTCTACCACTGAGCCACCTTCCCAGCCCTCTGGCTTCTTTTTTTTTGTTTGGTAGTTAATTGGAGATAAGAATCTCACAGATGGGCTGGGAAGGTGGCTCAGTGGTAGAGCACTTGCCTTGCATGCCTGAGGCCCTGGGTTCAATTCCTCAGCACCACATAAGCAAAAAGAAAAAAGGCCGGAAGTGGCGCTGTGGCTCAAGTGGTAGAGCGCTAGCCTTGAGCTGAAGAGCTGAGGGACAGCGCCCAGGCCCAGAGTTCAGGCTCCATGACTGGACCTACCCCCCCCCCAAAAAAAAACAAAAAGAATCTCACAGACTTTCCTGGTTTGGAATGGTGATCCTCATATCTCAGCCTCCAGATTAGCTAAGATTATAGGCCTGAGCCACCCACACCTAGCTGAATTGCATTTCTTCCACTGCACTTACTGCTCAGTTGTTTTCTGGTACTGTAGTAGAACATTGTACTATACTATCATAACTCCTCCAAACAGTAGAGCACAATAGGGCTCTACAACCTGTACATTATAGAACAAATAACAGGTAGACAACCTATAACACAATTTAAAGAAATAAACACTAAGAATATATGCATAAATTTTTGCATTTATAGAAACTGAGGCCATTAAACAAAGTTATTTAGGCATAAATGTATATCAGAAACGAATATGTAAAAAGGAGGAAGAAAAAAAGGAAAACCTAGATCTAAAAACTGCTAATTTATGGTACCCAGGAAAGATTCTCGTTTTTGTTTTGTTTTCAGAACTGGAGTTTGAACTTGAGGCCTTACACTTGCGAGGCAGGCACTCTACCACTTGAGCCATGCCCTCAGCTGTTTTTGCATTAGTTATTTTTTGGGGGGGGGGTCTGGTCGTGGGGCCTGAACTCTGGGCCTGGGCGCTGTCCCTCAGCTCTTCAGCTCAAGGCTAGCGCTCTACCACTTGAGCCACAGCGCCACTTCGGCTTTTTTCTTTTTGCTTATGTGGTGCTGAGGAATCGAACCCAGGGCCTCATGCATGCAAGGCAAGTGCTCTACCACTGAGCCCCCTTCCCAGCCCTGCATTAGTTATTTTTTAAGCAAGGTCTTGGATATTTGCCTGGGGCTGGCCTCAAACCATAATCTTACTGACAACTCCCAAGTAGCTGGGGTTTACAAAAGCATAATCCCATATCTGTCTTAGTGGATTGAGTTGGATGTCAACAACTTTTTTTTTTTTTAACCTAGGTTGGCTTGGAACCATATCCTCCCATTCTTTGTCTCCTCAGGAGTGTGGATTACAGTCATATACAATTTAGCAACCTGGATTACAAGCATGTGTTACTGCATCTGGCCTCTCAGGAAATTGTTTTTAAAAGATAACTTAGAGGGGGGCTGGGAAGGTGGCTCAGTGGTAAAGTGCTTGCCTCACATGCATGAGGCCCTGGGTTTGATCCCTCTGCACCACATAAGCAGAAAAAGCTGGAAGTGGCACTGTGGCTCAAGTAGTAGAGTGCTAGCCTTGAGCTGAAGAGCCAGGGACAGCGCCCAGGCCTAGAGTTCAAGCCCCATGGTCGATTCCCCCCCCCCAAAAAAAAAGATAACTTAGAGGGCTGGGAATGTGGCTTAGTCGTAGAGTGTTGTCTAGCATGCATGAAGCCCTTAGTACCATATATACAGAAAAGGCCAGAAATGGTCTGTGGCTCAAGTGGTAGTGTGCTAGCCTTGTGCAAAAGAAACCTGGGAACAGTGCCCAAACCCAGAGTTCAAGCCCCACCAATGACAAAAAAAAAGCCTAATTACGACAGGTAGTTCCAGGCTGGGAATGTAAATGTGGCTTAGTGGTAGAATGCTTGTCTAGCATGCATGAAGCCCTGGGTTCCATTCCTCCATACTACAGAAACAGAAAAAGGCTCAAGTGGTAGAGTGATATAGCCTTAAGTAAAAGAAGCTCAGGAATAGTACCTAGGCCCTGAGTTCAAGTCCCAGGACTGGCAAAAAAAAAACAACAAAAACAAAAACAACAAAAAAAAGGTAGTTCCTTAATTATAACTGAAGTCTTCATATAACTAATAGGCTTCTAGAATCTCAGTTGTTTCCAACATGCAATGACAAATTATAATGCTGAAAATTATATTACCCTTGCAATTTTTTTTCACCTCTTCTAAAGAATAAAATCCAATTGAGGATGGGGCTGGGAAGTTGGCTCAGTGGTAGAGCGCTTGCCTTGCATGCATGAGGCCCTGGGTTCGATTCCTCAGCCACATAAGAAAAAAGCTGGAAGTGGTGCTGTAGCTCAAGTGGTAGAGCGCTAGCCTTGAGCTGAAGAGCTGAGGGACAGCGCCCAGGCCCAGAGTTCAGGTCCTACAACCGGACCCAAAAAAAAAAAAAATCCAATTGAGGGGCTGGGAAGGTGGCTCAGTGGTAGAGCACTTGCCTTGCATGAATGAGGCCCTGGGTTCAGTGGTAGAGCACTTGCCTTGCATGCCTGAGGCCCTGGGTTCGATTCCTTAGCACCACATAAGCAAAAAGAAAAAAGCCGCAAGTGGCGCTGTGGCTCAAGTGGTAGAGCGCTAGCCTTGAGCTGAAGAGCTGAGGGACAGCGCCCAGGCCCAGAGTTCAGGTCCCATGACCTGACCCAAAAGAAAAGAAAAGAAAAAAAATCCAATTGAGAAGGAAAAAAAAAAATCACTGAAGTTGTTTCTATCTTCTATTTTTAAACAGCTTTCCAAAAAAAGTCATGGAAAATTTATTTTCTCTTTAGCACTGTATCCAATTGACAAAATAGAATGCTTCTGAAAATAAAGAAAATGTGGGCTGGGAAGGTGGCTCAGTGGTAGAGCACTTGCCTTGCATGCCTGAGGCCCTGGGTTCGATTCCTCAGTACCACATAAGCAAAAAAAAAAAAAAGCCGAAGTGGCGCTGTGGCTCAAGTGATAGAGCGCTAGCCTTGAGCTGAAGAGTTGAGGGATAACGCCCAGGCCCATGACCGGACCCCCCTGCCAAAAAAAAAAAGAAAATGTGGAAAAGTCTGTTTAGGTTTCTGTAAAACATGATAGAGACTCTCTTCCATTTACAAGGTTAGCTGCAAGCATAGCATAAGGGGAAACGAAGAGAAAAAAAAAAACCCTGGGGACTCTATCATCATACTATTCCACTGAGCTGTGGACATCTGCCTGGATGATCTGCTTCTAACTGAGGCTACTGGCCCTCAGCAAAAGCCGAATGTAAAAACCATCCACTGGAGTCGGGTGCTGGTGGTTCACGCCTGTAATCTTAGCTACTCAGGAGGCTGAGATGTGAGAATCACAGTTTAAAGCCAGCCCAAGTAGGAACATCCATGAGACTCTTATCTCCAATAAACCACCAGAAAACCAGAAGTGGCACTGTGGCTCAAGATAGAGCACTAGCCTTGAACTAAAGAGCTCAGGGACAGCGCCCAGGCCCAGAGTTCAAGCCCCATGACCCACAAAAAAAAAAAAAATCCATTGGGAGTACATACATGGTAGATGATTAAATGAATAGTTTGAGAACATATAGTAACATGTATTTATACATACACATATGTATATGTGTGCACATATGTACCATCAATTCTTTCCTTTAGTTCTCTAAGTAGAACTTTAAAAGAACAGAAAAACATATCCACCTACCTGATATTTGCCTTAATATACTTTTTCCTGCTACATTTACTCATTATCAAGACATGTGCAATCAAAGCTTTGCTCCTTCCTCCTTTTCTTCTTTATTTATCCTGAAGGAAAATCATAATGATGAATTAAAGATCATAATATTTTACTTTAAAAGTTAAAGTCTCTCACCAGTAAAAGTATTCCAAATTCTATAAAGCTAAAAAATAAAGTCATCACAGAATAGAAAGCTGAAAACAACTCGGCATTATTGGGCTTTTTCAATTTTATCATCAATCTATTATCCAGTTTTATTTAGGGTTTTTTTGTTTTTTTTGTTGTTGTTGTTTTGTTTTGTTTTTTGGTCAGGACTGGAGCTTGAACTCAAGGCCTTGTACTCTTCTTTTGACTTTTATTTTTTCTTTTGGCCAGTCCTCAGGTTTGAACTCAGGGCTGGGGCACTGTCCCTGAGCTTCTTTTGCTTGAGGCTAACACTCTACCACTGGAGCCACAGTGCCACTTCTAGCTTTTTTTGTTCATGTGGTACTGAGGAATTGAACCCAGGGCTTTGTGTATACTAGGCAAGGACTAAGCCACATTCCCAGCTTTGATTTTTTTTTTTGGTGGGGGGGGGGGTGGTGGTAGGGTCAGGATTGGGCTTCAATTCAGGGACAGGCTTGAACTCAGGACCTTGAACTCTTGCTTTTTCTCTCAAGGCTGGTACTATACCAGCCTTAAGAGAAGACTTGGGGCTGGGAATGTGGCTGAGTGGTAGAGTGCTTGCACGAGGCTCTTGGTTTGATTCCTCAGCACCACATAAACAAAAAAAAGAGAGAGAAGAAAGATTTAAGCCACACCTCCACTTTTCAGTTTTTGCAGGTTAAGTGGAGATAAGAGCTCTCAAATTTGTCTGTGTGGGCTGGCTTTGAACCTTGATCCTCAGATCTCAGCCTCCTGGTAAGTAGGCCCAGGACTAGATTATCACTGTTTATTCTTCCTAGGGAAAAAAAAAATTTACAAAACTCAATGTGTTGGGGCTGGGAAGGTGGCTCAGTGGTAGAGCGCTTGCCTTGCATGCATGAGGCCCTGGGTTCGATTCCTCAGCACCACATAAGCAAAAAAAGAAAAAAAGCCGGAAGTGGCGCTGTGGCTCAAGTGGTAGAGCGCTAGCCTTGAACTGAAGAGCTGAGGGACAGCGCGCAGGCCCAGAGTTCAGGCCCCACAACTGGACCCAAAAAAAAAAACAAAAAACCTCAATGTGTTGGCATAGGGATATGGCTCAAGTAGTAGAGTGCTTGCCTCATAAGCAAACCCCAGAAATGAAAAACAAAAACAAAACAAAAAACCCCCGAAACCCTAGAAAGTGACACTGTGGTTCAAGTGGTACAGCACTTGCCTTGAGCTGAAGAGCTCAGGGATATCCAGCCTTAGAGTTCAAGCCCCACAACCGACAAAAAAAAAAAAAAAAAAAAAAAAAAAAAACCCCAGTTGTATAAACAAGAAAGCAGGGACCATTTATTGGTCAGTGACCAGCATCCATCCAACTTATGGTGAGTTCTTAAGCTAAGCAATGGAACCCAGTGCAACAAGCTTTGTTCCAGGAGATTGAGATCTAAAGAGGGAAATGTGCAAAGGAGCTAGTGGCTCATGCCTGTAATCTTAGCTATTCAGGAAGCTAGGTTACTCTGAAGATCTCAGTTCAATGTCAACCAGGACAGGAAAGTCTGTGAGACTCTTATCTGCAATTAACCACCCTCTCTCCACACAAAGTGGAGCTATGGTTCAAATGGCAGGGTACTAGCCTTGAGTAAAAGCAGCACAGGATGCCAAGTACTGATGGCTCATGCCTGTAAACCTAGCTACTCAGGAGGCTGAGATCTGAGGATCGTTGTTCAAAGCTAGACTGTGCAGTAAAGTCTGTGAGACTTATTTTCAGTTAACCCCCGGAAAACAGGAAGTAGTACTGTGCCTCAAAGTAGTAGAGCACTAGCCTTGAGTTAAAAAGCTCAGGGACAGCACCCAGGCGCTGAATTCAAGCCCCACAACTGACCAAAAAAATAAAAATAAAAATCAGCAATATTTTTCAGGGAAATCCAGAAATAGTCCATTATTCCTAGCCCAATGGCAACTGCCACTGATGTATAACACCAGTGTCCAATTCTTTATGGTATCACTCTTGCTTTTGTCTTCCAAGTTATCCAGTCCTTTATTTGGCCTTCTCTTGCCCATAGTTTAATAGTTTTTAATATTTTTAATATTTCCAGGATTTCAGGCACAATCTCCACACATTCTCTCTGGGCCTCTTCATGCTTCTGGGATGATTTTCAAGTTTCACCTGAAGCCTAAGGCTCTCTTCTGAGCTCCAGCCCCTGAAGAATCTGTCAGATGTCTCTTAACCACCCACCAGACCTTCAAACCCTAAAACCCCCAAATGTAAACTGTATCCCACATACTGCCTCTCCTCTTGCTCAAGAGACGGACTCCATCCTGTTTCAGCTATCTCAGCAGGGAGTCACATGTGATCATATTGTGATTGACAGTTCACCAAGGAAGAGGTGTAAAGAACATAAGCCTTGGAAACTGGGTGTGGAGTCCCACTGATTAGCTGTAACCTTGGACAATTTAATATTTCTCCATACTGCTGGGCGCTGGTGGCTCACACCTGTAATCCTAGCTACTCAGGAGGCTGAGATCTGAGGATTGCAGTTCAAAGCCGGCCCGGGCAGGAAAGACTTGAGACTCCTATCTCCAATAAACCACCAGAAAACCGGAAGTGGCGCTGTAGCTCAAGTGGCAGAGTGCTCGCCTTGAGCTGAAGAGCTGAGGGACAGCACCCAGGCCCAGAATTCAAGCCCCAGGACCGATCAAAAAAATTAAAAATTTAAAAATTTAAAAATTAAAAATATTTCTCCATACTTTCCTGCCCAAATCGTGTGTGAGGAGAAAGCACATTAATGAATGCAAAAGGCTTACAATACAAGCTGAAAACCACATAGAATTAATCACTCCAATAATCCTACCTCCTATCTCTCCATTCTGTTCCATTCTCTCTATCCTCCCAGGTCTTGTTTTAGTCCTGACCCTAACCTTTTACCATGATTAAAGCTGTAACAGGATCTGCCTTTTTACTTCATCTGCTTCAAAACTCCCCACAACCTCTATCCATTCTATTTGATAACGACATTATTTGAAATGCAAACCCTGTAGGGTGCTAGTAGTGGCTCAGGCCTGTAATCCTAGAGGCTGAGATCTGAGGATCGTGGTTTGAAGCCAGCCTGGGGCAGAAAAGTCCATGAGACTCTTATCTCCAATAAACTATTTAGAAAAAGCTGGAATTGGTCCTGTGGTTCAAGTGGTAGAGCACTAGCTCAGGGACAACACGTAGGACCTGAGTTCAAGCCCCATTTCTTCACTTAAAATCTTCTCAAGCCTGTAATCTTGGCTACTCAGGAAGCTGAGATGTGAGGATCACCATTCTAAGCCAACATGAGCTGGAAAATCTGTGAGATTTACCTCCAGTTAACCAGAAAAAAGCTGTAAGTAAAATTATAGTCTATGTGATAGTCACTCTTGAGCAGAAAAAGCTCAAAGACAATACCTAGGACCTGAGTTCAAGCCTAGGTACCAGCACCAAAAAAAAAAAAAAAAATCTTCCAATGGTTGCCCTTGCAACCTTGTCTTGCATTCTTATTTGAGATACTTAAGTAGAGGCTTAGTATCATTTGTTATACCATGTGAGACAATATATGTATTCCTATCACTGATGTTTTCCAGGTTCAAAACCACTTTGTTTATTTGTAAACCAACGTATCTGGTTTGTTTTAATATAAACTATGTATACTTTGGGAAAAAATGCAACTGCTTTTTTTTTTTTTTTTTGCCAGTCCCAGGGCACAGGGCCTAGGCACTGTCCCTGAGCTTTTTTTGTGTGTGTGTGCTCAAGGCTAGTGTTCTACAAACAAACAAACTCAGGGCCTGGGCGCTGTCCCTGAGCCTCTTTGCACTCAAGGGTAGCACTCTACCACTTGAGCCACAGTGCTACTTCCAGCTTTTTCTGTTTATGTGGTACTGAGGAATCAAACTCAGGGCTTCATGCATGTTAGGCAAATACTCTACCACTAAACCACATTCCCAGCCCTGCAACCACTTTCTATATTACTGATTTTATTCCAAATGACTTTTGTGGGGAGTGAAGTGGGGGTTCTGGGGCTTGAATTCAGGGCCTGGGCAGGATTGTCTGAGTTTTTTTGCGTTCAAGGCTAGCATTCTACACTATGAGATACAGCTCCATTTCTAGCTTTTTGGTATTTAATTGTAAATTAGAGTCTAATGTACTTTCCAGCCTGGGCTGGCTTTTAACCACAATCCTCAGATCTCAGCCTACTAAGGAGCTAGCATTATAGGCACAAGCCACCAATGTCCAATTCCCAAATGAGTTTTAATTTTACAGAATTTTACCTCTATTGGACAGACAAAAGGGAGATCTAGCATTCCACCCCCAAAGAGCTCAAAGAGCTCAAATGGGGACTGGGAAGATGGCTCAGTGGTAGAGCGCTTGCCTTGCATGCATGAGGCCCTGGGTTCGATTCCTCAGCACCATATAAGCAAAAAGAAAAATGCTGGAAGTGGCACTGTAGCTTAAGCGGTAGAGCACTAGCCTTGAGCTGAAGAGCTGAGGGACAATGCCCAGGCCCAGAGTTCAGGCCCCATGACCAGATCCAAAAAATAAAATTAATAAAAATAATAATAAAGAACTCAAATGCCCTAATATGTTCTCATGATGGGTTTAGGAATATATTAAGCATAAAATAATAAACATAAAATACAAATATGTAAATTTTTTCCATTTAGCCCAAAGCAGGCCCCTTAAATTTATCATCATGCTTCATGATAGTCTGAGGTTTGAAGTTTTTATGTTTTGTTTTTGGTACCAGTCATGGGGTTGAACTCAGGAACTGGGCACAGGGCCTAGGCACTGTCCCCGAACCTTTTTTTTTTTTTTTTGGTAGGTCATGGGGCTTGGACTGTGGGCCTGGGCGCGGTCCCTCTGCTCTTCAGCTCAAGGCTAGCACTCTACTACTTGAGCCATAGCACCACTTCCAGCTTTTTTTCTTTTTGCTTATGT